CTTCTTCTCCCTCTCTCTCTCCTCTCTCTTCACCTGCTGTCAGCTGGTGAAGCTGAGGCGGGGGGCCGGGGAGGGGGCCTGCGCCTCCAGGGTCAGCCCTGTCTCGGGTCCCATGTACCCCGGGGGGCTGACGGGCCTGCCTCGGCCTGCCTCGGGCGTTCTCAGAACTGGGCTCGCTGATGACTTGGGAGAAGGCGAGTGCAAGCTCCGGCAGTTAGGTCAGTGTCCTCGGCTCCGGGAGCCTGACCTGTGTCTGGGCAGAGACTTTTAGACGACATTCTGTCCTGTCCTTTGCCCTTGCTTCACGCGCGCCCCTCGCGGTCAGCAGGGATGAGCTGGCCTCGTCCTTGGAGTGAGTCCGGGGGATGGCTCTGCCCACGGCAGCCAGTGCAGCCAGGAGGGGGTCGCGTGGGAGATACAGGTGTCGGGGAGGCTCAGCTGCTGGCCGTGATGAACATGGGCCCCAAAGTGGGCCCCTGCCTGAGACCCAGGAGCCCTCGCCTGTTCTTTAAGGACCTGGAATCTGATGGCCAGGAACTCCTTTCGGCCTGACTCCGGAAAATCTTTGACCTTCTGGGCTGACGCTGTGGCGCAGTGGGTTTGGCCGCTGCTCGTGTGGCAAGCATCCCATTTGCGCACCGGTTCAATTCTCGGCTGCTCTGCTTCTGATCCACTCCCTGCTAATGCACCTGGAAAAGCAGTGGGAGATGGCCCAAGTGCTGGGGTCCTGCCCCCACGTCGGGGACCCAGGTGGAGCTCCTGGCTCTCGCTTCAGCCAGGCCGAGCCATGGCTGTTGTGGCGTTTGGGAGGGAAGCAGCCGATGAAAGATCCCTGTTTCTCCCTCTTTGAAGCTCTGCCTGTCAAATAAAGCAGTAAAGCACTCTAAAGATCTAAAGATCTCTGCCCTTGCCCACGCGAGAGGTGTGACTGGTGCTCACGTGCCACGTGTGTCCTGCAGAACCACCTGGCCCACGAGGAGCTGTCGATCGCGGTGGAGATGCTGTCGGCCGTGGCTCTGCTGAACCAGGCCCTGGGGAGCCATGACCTTGAGTCGGTGCAGAGCCAGCTGAGGAACCCTGCCGCAGGCTTCAACAACCTGGACGAGGCGCACGTGCAGCGGTAAGGGCAGCCACCCCCCGGTGCCCGGCAGCCGCAGGCCTCCCCACACAGGGCGCCACCTGCCCGCCTCGTCTCTCGCACGCCTCCCTGTCGGACAGAGGCCCCCGAACACGCTGGCCCTGTGACAGGGACCCAGGGTGGCGTGAGCTGCTGCCCATAAGGGTGCTGCTCAGAGCACCTCCCTCGGGCTGCTCCAGGACACAACAGCTCAGCCCTCGGGTCAGTTCTTCAGTTTCTCTGCCAAGTGGTGGTCTGTAAGCTACAGACCCCACGGTAGGATGGCTGTGCCACAGCCTGCACTCCTGCAGCCACGCCAGGCTCCTGAACCCAGTGGGGGCGGAGGCCACGTGGTGCCTGTGTCCCAGTTCCTGAGATGCGCCCGAGGCAGTGTGCGATTGTGATCCTGCAGCAGACGCAGGCAGAGGGTGGACCCGTCAGAATTAGGAGCCAAGGGAGAGGCTGGTGAGACAGCGAGCACCACTGGACGCCGGTGACCCCCGCTGGACGCCGGTAACCCCCGGGGTGAGGTCTACACCAGAGCACTGCTCGTCCCTGACCCTGGACTTGCCAAGTCCGCAGCTGGGCAGGGGTCACGGGTAGGTGCACAGCAGAGGTCAGGAGCCTGCCCCTCCTACCACGTCTCTGCCCCTGGTTGTCATCCTGAACAGAGGCAGCTGTGGGCAGCTGTGGGCCTGTGCTCCGCCTGCAGCTTCCTGTCCTCGCCCTGCCTGGCCGTCACCTAGACACAGCACGTGAAAAGCCCACGAGACCCAGCAGGTGCCCGTGGAATGGTCATTCTGGAAGGGACGCTGGCCATTGCCTGTCTCCACACCCGCTGTGACTGATGAGTGTTGGCCGTCAGCTGTTAGCGGCACAGTCAGGTTTTCTGAGCTGACTCTCAGCATGCCCGTGGCCAGCTCCAGGCCTGCAGTGGGGGGACGGGGAGCCACCAGTGCCACTGCTGCATCGAGCAGGGGTTTTCTCCCACGCTGCGCCCCAGGAGGCGTGGCAGCACCCCTGCCGGCACACAGGACTGTGAGCAGCTTGGTCACAGCCAGGATGCGGTTGCAGACTCATCTGGCATCACAGGCCGTCTCTGCTCTGAGTGCACAATGTTGTGAACGGGCACACGATGCCCAGGGAGTTCCTGGGTTCAGATTTCTAGCTGAAGGGAACTTAACCTGTAACGGGCACGTAAATATTCCAGCATCTGGGTGACGTCTGGTTCAGGTGTTTCGGACGCCCTGTCCCCACCCACCCCGGCTCTGTGGGTGGCTGTGGCTGGCCCCAGAACAGGGCCCGTCTGTGCCTAGAGGCCTGCTCCTTGCTCCCTGGGGGACAGGTGGGACAGCAAGCGGAACACCTGGGTTTCTCTACTTTTGTCTAAAGTTGTCCTGTCATTCTGAAGCAGTAAAGTTGGCTTTTAAGAAATGAAAGATTTTTAGTAGTATTCAAGATGGATAGAGTTTTCCCTAAAATTTCTCCAGACAAGAAAAAAAATAGCCTAGGGTTTGACCAAAGGCTGTTTTCCATAGGGCTGTGTGCAGGGAGGAGGGTCGAGGGTTGGGGTCAGGGGTGGTGTCCCGCAGTGGGGACACAGGAGACAGGCCTGGAGGGGTAGGTGGCAGGTGGGCGGAGCCCCAGGCTGTCCTCACTCCTGGCTCCTCACAGGTGGTCAGGGACTGATCCTCAGGGTCCCAGCATGGCGTCCCCGGGGCAGGCTCCTGTCGCCCAGCTGCTTCAGGGCTGCGCTGGGGGACACCTCTCGACACTCGCATTCTGGGAGGGTGAAGAAACTCCATCAGAGACCCTGATGGCGGAAGGGCCGAGGGCTGCAGGAGCTGGGCTGTGTCCTGGCCACTGCGGGGAGGGAAGTGCGGGACGGGCAGAGCCCAGCCTCGCCCAGGCCAGGCGGGAAGCTCAGGTGCTCTCGTTAGCAGGTGTCTCGGGATGTAACACAAGCCTTCCCGTGAGCTCCGGGCTGGCTCGGACCGTGTCCCCACCTCGGCGGAGCGTCCCTGACGCGCGCCCTCGTCGCTTTCCCTCCCGCAGGTACGCGAGCGAGCTGCTGTCGGTGAAGCTGGAAGCCGCGGCCCAAGGGCAGGAGAGCCTGAGCTGGAATGAAATCCAGAACTGCATCGACATGGTCAACGTCCAGATCCAAGAAGAGGAAGCTCGTGAGTGCAGACCTGCTGCTCGGCGTCCGGGGAGCTTCGTCCGCGAGCCGGGGCTGCAGCTCTCTGCTCCGGCGTCCGGGGGAGCTTCGTCGTGGCCGGGCTGCAGCTCTCTGCTCGGCCGGGGGAGCTTCGTCTGCGAGCCGGGCTGCAGCCTCTGCTCCGGCCCGGGGGAGCTTCGTCCACGCTGGGGCTGCAGCTCTCTGCTCCGGCGTCCCAGGGAGCTTCGTCCGCGTGCCAGGGCTGCAGCTCTCTGCTCGGGCCCCGAGCCTCAGGGCGACCTGCATAGCTTCTGTGCCTGCTGCCGTGCCAGGGCCTCAGGCGCACTGCAGGGTGCACACGGGGGTCCCGGAAGTCCTGAGGCTTCTCTCCCATGCTGCACATGACCCCTGCATGGGCGCTCAGTTGTACTTTGCGCTCTTCTTTGGGCAGTTTCCTGCCCCGGGAGCGAGGGCGTCGGCACTCGGGTGGACTGTTGCCTGTGGTCACCGACAGTGGAGGGTCTGCCTTGAGTGCTCCAGGAGGCTGCAGCGTGGACGCGCTGCCCCGGTCCTGGTTCTGCCTTCTGTCACCTGCCCAGCCTGTCACAGTGGACTGCGGGTGGGAGACGTGGGGACACTTGGTGACTGTCTGCATCCCGCCGTCTGCTGTCTGTGCCTGGTGAGAACCACAGCGGGCGGTCTCCCGGCCCCAGGCTCCGAGCGGAGCGCGGGGGCCCCATCCCTGCTCTGTGACCTCCCTTCCACCAGCCCGGCTCTCTCCCCTCTGCCCTGAGCTCACTGTGGGCAGGCAGGCAGGCACCTCTCCCTGTAGCTCCCCCAGCTCTGTCCTGGTGCCCTGGTCTCCCTAACTGCCCTCTAACTGGGGACACAGGGGTCATGCTGGAGACGAGACCCGTGAGCTGGCGGATTCATTCCACTTGCCATAGTTTTCTTCTTCTCTGCTGTTTCCTGTTTAGCTCTGTTTGCCGGTTTTTGAGCGCCGTCTCAGTGGGCTCCCACCGCAAAGCAGGATCCAGGGGTCCGCCATGCTGCGTGGCCCACCCCACTCCCTGGACACGTCTTCCCATCCCTCTCTGGCCGCGTCCTGTCCAGTGCCCCAAGCTGCCTGCACTTCCGCTCAGTGAAGCAGCTGGAAGCCGACAGCAGGCAGCTTGCTCAAGCCCCCTCCTTACGCTCTCTGCTGGCCTGGGAGCCTAGGGTTCCCGCCAGATGTCAGTCAACAGCGAGGCAGACGTTCACCGTCACCCAGGAAGGCGAGTGGGCAGAGCTCTGTGTGGGCGTTCCTGCCCCCCACCCCTCCTCCCCCTGGCAAGCCTGGGGGGCTCGGGTGTGAGGGCAGTGCACCCAGCCGCTGGGGCTTCCTCTCGGGGCTTCTGTCCTCGGAAGGGCAGAACAAAGAACCTGGCCCCTGCTGTCTTCGGCCCCACCCCTGTGGTGGCTGGCAGTGCCCGTGTCTGTCCTGGGGAGGGCAGGGCGAGGAATCTGGCCCCAGCCCTGTGGTCTGTCCACAGGGGGCTCTCTGCTGCTCCACCCTGAGGGCGGCCCTTCCCCAGACGCTGCTGAGAGCAGGACCACTGCTTTTCCCTGGCCGCCACACGGAGCCCGTGCGCTCCCAGGGAGGAAGGAACACGCAGCAGTCCCACAGCTGGGAGACGGTGGTCTTTGGAAGGCATTTTTAGACAAAACACCTTTGACTGCTCTGGCCTTTCCTGTGTCGGCGGCCGTGCCACCGTGAGCGCTCCCAGGCCAGTGTCACGGCCCACCGCCACGATTCTCCGGCGCCTTTGGGCAGGCGGGGCATTCGCCGTAGCCACAGGGCTCATTGCACACTGAGCTCTCCTCGTGAGAGTTCGGGAAGCTCACACGAGAGTATTTCATCTGTCTGTGTTTGGTGTTGATCTTGTCCTGTTGTCAAAATGAAAGATTTTTGTTGAAAGCTCTTGAAGTATTGAGTTTGGTATCATCTGATACAGACAGTTGCTTAAAAAGCAAGAATTTAAAAAAAAAAAACAAAACACACAAGGGTGGACACCCGACCTAGTGGTTAAGCTACTGATAAAGACACTGCCTCCATATGAGAGGCCTGAGTTCGAGTCCTGGCTCCAGCTCCCGAGTCCAGCTTCCTGCTCACGCACACCGTGGGAGGCACTGGTGATGGGTCACGTGGTTGGGTCCCTGCCACCCCTGTGGAAGACTCACGTGGAGTTCCTGGCTCCCAGCCTCCATCCACGCAGGGGCTGTTGCAGGCGTTTGGTGAGTGGACCACGAATGAAATCTCTGTGTGTGCACTGCCTAAATCAATCAATAATGAACAATTAATGAAGATGTACACGGTTGCTCTGAGAGAGCGGGCAGGAGTCACACAGTCTGGTGACTGGGAGGAGCGTGACCACCTGCCAGACGGAGGAGGAGCCCCCGCGGGGTTTATCCCAAGTTCTTGTCTCGGCGTGAGAGAATTCACAGCAGAGACGCAGCGTGCAGGAGTGGGAGCCCGGAGACTGTCAACGCCCCAGTTAGTCTCCCTGTGGCCTCTGCTCCTCCACCCGGGCAGCATCCCCCGACGTCTCCATCCCTTGAGCTCCAGGGACGCTGCTCTTGCCAGGGCCTGGGTGTGGCAGTCACAGTGACTTGGAGAAGTGGCCGCTCAGCCGTGTCCCTCTGCCTGTGCGGGCAGGAGCATGAGAGCAGGTGCCCAGCAGGCACCCGCAGGCCTCTGAGCTGCTGTGAGGTCATTTACTGTGACCTCAGCAGCGGGTGTTCCTAGAAGCACACTGCCCACCCGAGCTGGGGCCCAGTCCAGCCAGCTGACACACGCTCATTGCCAGGTGGTCGGCCCCGGGATGTGTGTACGTTCTCTCCCTCAGACCCTGGGGGGCTGGGGGGTGCTTAACGGGACTTAGGACAGCCGACCCTGGGCTGACGCAGTGTGCAGCCTGGCACCCTGTGCTCGCTCACGGACACCCAGGGGTGTGAGGTGCCTCGACCGGAGGGTCCTTGGACGCGGCAGAGCTCACCCCTAGCAGGGAACTCCCCCAGCCTGCACGTCAGATGTGCCAGCGCTTAAGTGACCGGCCGTTTGCTCTGACGGCTGAACCTTTGCATTCCTAGCAAGGGTGGTCTTTCCGGGGAGTATTTAGCCGAATGGTCTACCTCAACTTGACAATCAGGACACGGATACTTTTTAAAAATTAGAAGTGTCCGTTCTGTCTCATGGCACGTCACATCTGTAAACTGACTTGTGATCGTTTTTGATGAAAAATAACTGGCAAAATGAAGCGTGATAAGTTTGACCTGGAGAGTATTTGATATCCAAGCCCGTTGCTTATCAATGCTTAGTTCTCCACCCATTCCTGTTCATCCACACGTGAGTGTGCACTTTGTACCCACGTTCTCATCACCTGTGTGACGAGGTGACAGGTGGCGAGGTGGTGGCGGGAAGTGGCCGCTGGGTGAACCCAGGCTGCTGACGTTGCCCAACTTCTGCCGTTCACAGCCGAGGTCCTCCTGTGAGGCCTAAATTACACCAGAAACTTCGCTTCTTCCCTAGTCAGGGCCCCCAAGGCTGTTTTACTAACCCAGTGTGTCCAGTTCATCATCCCTATTTGAACCTTTCCGGAACACACATGGAGGCTGCTACTCCTGCCAGCCACCCTGATTGTCCACCTATAATTACTTAAAATGAAACAAGGCTGCACTGCCGGGTGCTCATAGTCGGTTGCTCTGCACCGCCCGCGGGGCCCGGCTGGGGGCTGCCTCTAGGAGAGCGCAGAGCGCGGACCGCGACCCTGACCCCGTCTGTTCACGTTCTAGGGAACTGCTTGACTGCGCGCCACCAGCTCTGGCATCCTGTGCAGAGGGCTGAAGTAGAGCAGCGTCGAGAGTGCCATGCGCATCTACGAACCTCTCGGTACTAGCCCTCCCGCTCCTGCACCTGGGCAGCACCGCTGCCGACGTGAGGTCGTATCTATGAACCTCTCGGTACTACCCCTCCCGCTCCTGCACCTGGGCAGCACCGCTGCCTACGTGAGGTCGTGCTGTGCCGCTCGCACGCAGAAGTGTGCCCCTCACTGTGCATGCCCCTCAGAACACCCTGGAAAATGCCCGTTAGGAAAAACCTGCATGGGTTTCAAATTTTTTTAACCAAAACGAACATTTTTAAATTCCGTCTTCCTTATATTTAAGCAGTTCCCTGGTATAGTGGTTTTTTTTTATTATTATTATTTGACAGAGTTATAGACAGTGAGAGAGAGAGACAGAGAGAAAGGTCTTCCTTCTGTTGGTTCACCCTCCAAATGGCTGCCACGGCCGGCGTTGCACCAATCCGAAGCCAGGAGCCAGGTGCTTCCTCCTGGTCTCCCATGCGGGTGCAGGGGCCCAAGCAGTTGGGCCATCCTCCACTGCCTTCCCAGGCCACAGCAGAGAGCTGGACTGGAAGAGGAGCAACTGGGACTAGAACTGGCGCCTGTATGGGATGCTGGCGCCGCAGGCAGAGGATTAACCAAGTGAGCCATGGTGTCGGCCCCTGTTTTTGTTTTTTGATTTTAAGAGTTTGAAAAGCAGAGTTTCACAGAGGCAGAGAGAGAGGGAGAGAGAGGTCTTCCATCCGCTGGTTCACTCCACAATGGCCAGAGCTGTACCGATCCAGGAGCCAGGAGCTTCTTCGGGTCTCCCATGCGGGTCAGGGGCCCAAGCACTTGGGCCATCTTCGACTGCTTTCCCAGGCCATACCAGAGAGCTGGATCGGAATCGGAGCAGCTGGGACTCAAACCGGCATCCATATGGGATGCCGGCACCGCAGGTGGTGGCTTTACCTGCTATGGCACAGCGCCGGCCCCGGCAGAGTGGTTTTACAACGATCCAGGCACACACTGCAAAGCCTCCCTTTGGCTGTATGCGTGGGCCTCTCGTGTCTGTTCTCATGCAGGCCGTGCCACGCTGTGCTGTGCTCTCCAGGCGCCGTGCTGCGTGCTGGGGGCTCACGTTTCTGTCCGCAGTCACCCTCAGAGGGTGGCAGCTCGGGCCGTTCTACTCTGTGGGTTCCTGCCGGCAGTGGACTCGCTGGGTCCTGTGGTCGCCCTGGGCTGTGTCCTGAGCACCTGCCAGCTGCTCCAGTGGCGACCGCAGCTGCGGGGTCCACGTGTGCTCAGCAGCATCTTTGTGGACATCCTGGAGTGTGCGGTGGCGTCTCGTGGTGCCATGGCGTCGTCTTTCCACGCGCTCCTGTCTGTGGAGAGCAGCTCGTGTGTCTCGCGGCTGAGCGCTCGGTGCTGTCCGTGCCCTCGGCGTGCCGCCATCGGTCAGACGCAGCGCTCGCGCACTTCCTCCCGCTCTCCCGGCTGTGTTCTCTCTCTGTCGTGGCGACTCTGGCTGCCCAACAGCTGTCGTTCGGAGAAAGCCCGTTCATCTCTCTCACGTCGTCCATGGCTTGTGCTTCGGGCATCTTAGCTGGCCCCAGCCCCCGAGGATTTACTCCTAGGTGTGCTCGTGCGGGTGTGTGGTTTCAGCTTCTACGTTAGGGCCTGGGTTCTGCGTTCACTTTTGTGTATGGGAGAAGTGGAGGTGGGGTCCCCAGCTCCCCGTGTGTGTGGACACCGTGAGGGCTCCTGCTCCGGGCCCCAGCATCCTTGCAACCAAGTTCTGTGCTTGTTCAGAGTTCCCTGTGCAGCGGAGTTCACTCTGCGTCGTTGAAGGTGGGGCTGGGAAGCGCCTTCGCACTCTTTTCTTCCTTTTGTCAAGGTTTCTTTGGTCCTTTATGGATAATATTAATTTGCATATTTGAGAGCCAGGTGGAGGGGTGGGCTCCCATCTGCTAGCCCACTCCCCAGATGGCTGCAATGGCTGAGGCTGTGCCACGGCTGCAGCTGGCAGCTGGACACTCATGCACGTCTCCCACGTGGGCGGCAAGAACCCGGTCACTAGCGCCATCCCCGCTGCCACCCAGCGTCTGCAGTGGCAGCAAGCTGGGGGCGGGAGCCAGAGGAGGCGTGGCAGCCAGGTCCTCCGGTGTGGGTCGTGGACGTCGTAACCACGAGGCCAGGACCCCTGCCCTGCCACTGACCGTTCCTGGTCTCCTGCATCTCCCTCGGACCTTGAGCTTGTGCGTCCAGGACTTGGGTGGGTACTGCGTTCACTGTGGACCAGGCCGAGGCACGGTCCCCGCGGCAGTGTCCTCCTCCCCCTGGAGGCTGCCTGCTCCGCGTTTGCTCAGCTCGTCTTCATCTTTGGCCGTGGGGTCTCGTACTTGCTGGCGTCCGTCTTGTGCCTCCGTTGTGACGCTTTTCTTGGGGGTTAATTCCTGTTGTAATTGGGGCATATTTGTGATTGGAATCTATTGGGAGCTGAGGTCTGAGTTCTCCTTCCAGTCCATCTCCTCTGCGGAGAGAGGACAGCAGGGGCCATCTGCGAGGGTGCCGCCTCCCGCAACCTTGCTGTGCCTGACAAAGCACTTGCAGTCCGTGGTGTGGGAGGCATCAGATGCTCGATCGGAACACCCCACCTTCCACCTCCTGCAGGGGTGTAGACTGGGGGGCATCAGTGAGGCATGGGTGAGGTGATGACCCACCTTCCACCTCCTGCAGGGGTGTAGACTGGGGGGCATCAGTGAGGGCGTGGGTGAGGTGATGTCCCACCTTCCACCTCCTGCAGGGGTGTAGACTGGGGGGCATCAGTGAGGCGTGGGTGAGGTGATGACCCACCTTCCTCCTCCTGCAGGGGTGTAGACTAGGGGGGCATCAGTGAGGGCGTGGGTGAGGTGACGTCCCCACCTTCCTCCTGCAGGGGTGTAGACTGGGGGGCATCAGTGAGGCGTGGGTGAGGTGATGACCCACCTTCCTCCTGCAGGGGTGTAGACTGGGGGGCATCAGTGAGGCGTGGGTGAGGTGACGTCCCCACCTTCCTCCTGCAGGGGTGTAGACTGGGGGGCATCAGTGAGGCATGGGTAAGGTGATGACCCACCTTCCACCTCCTGCAGGGGTGTAGACTGGGGGGCATCAGTGAGGCGTGGGTGAGGTGACGTCCCACCTTCCTCCTCCTGCAGGGGTGTAGACTAGAGGACATCAGTGAGGGCGTGGGTGAGGTGATGACCCATCTTCCCCCTGCAGGGGTGTAGACTGGGGGGCATCAGTGAGGCGTGGGTGAGGTGATGACCCACCTTCCCCCTGCAGGGGTGTAGACTAGGGGGCATCAGTGAGGGTGTGGGTGAGGTGATGACCCACCTTCCTCCTCCTGCAGGGGTGTAGACTGGGGGCATCGGTGAGGGTGTGGGTGAGGTGATGACCCACCTTCCCCCTGCAGGGGTGTAGACTAGGGGGGCATCAGTGAGGGCGTGGGTGAGGTGATGACCCACCTTCCTCCTGCAGGGGTGTAGACTGGGGGGCATCAGTGAGGGCATGGGTGAGGTGATGACCCACCTTCCCCCTGCAGGGGTGTAGACTAGGGGACATCAGTGAGGCGTGGGTGAGGTGACGTCCCCACCTTCCTCCTGCAGGGGTGTAGACTGGGGAGCATCAGTGAGGGCGTGGGTGAGGTGACGTCCCCACCTTCCCCCTGCAGGGGTGTAGACTGGGGGGCATCAGTGAGGGCGTGGGTGAGGTGACGTCCCCACCTGCCTCCTGCAGGGGTGTAGACTAGGGGGCATCAGTGAGGGCGTGGGTGAGGTGATGACCCACCTGCCTCCTGCAGGGGTGTAGACCAGGTGCATCAGTGATAACCCCGTCTCCCTCCTCCTGCAGGGGTGTAGACCAGGGGCATCAGTGATAACCCCGTCTCCCTCCTCCTGCAGGGGTGTAGACCAGGGGCATCAGTGATAACCCCGTCTCCCTCCTCCTGCAGGGGTGTAGACCAGGGGCATCAGTGATAACCCCGTCTCCCTCCTCCTGCAGGGGTGTAGACCAGGGGCATCAGTGATAACCCCGTCTCCCTCCTCCTGCAGGGGTGTAGACCAGGTGCATCAGTGATAACCCCGTCTCCCTCCTCCTGCAGGGGTGTAGACCAGGGGCATCAGTGATAACCCCGTCTCCCTCCTCCTGCAGTGGTCGTGGCCGTCGGGCACATCAATGAGGCCATCGACACAGGGAACCCTCTGAAGACCCTGGACGCCCTGCTGCTGCCGACTGCGAAGATCAGAAACGTGGACCCCGACCACGCCCAGCACTACCAGGATGTCCTGTACCAGGCCAAGTCGCAGAAGCTCAGGGTGAGCTTGGCCGTGTTTCCCTAGGCTAAGCCGTACCACGTTGGTTGCCTGAGTGCTTGCAGGCTTGGGGGTGGTAGGGGCGGGGTCTCTCCCACTCCTCTGAACTCTCCTGGGCTTCTCGTCACAGCCATCGCCCGTGATAAAGAACGGAGTCCCTGGCTGCTGCCTTCCTGCACCACCCGTTAGGGGGAAGCCGGCCCCGGGCTGCCCGTGGCTTCTGCTCTTTGACCAGATGCTGTGGCTGGGCAGCACTCACAGTCTAGTCTGAGTGGACGCCTGTGCACAGCGGCGGATGCCATGTGCCCACACGCAGTGGCGCGTGTGCGTGTGTGCTGGTGGATCCCGTGTACACCATGCAGCGTGCAGCCCCTTGGAGGGAAGAAGGAAGGGTGTGAGAGGGCCACATGGCGCCCTCGGGTGACCTCTGTCCTCACTCGAGGTCCCTGCAGACCTGCTGAGGCAGGGGCGTGGCTGTTCTCATCCGGGGGGAAGTGTGTAGGTACCGCAGAAATAAGGCGCCCGCGGTGACTCCGAGAGGGCTGAGACGGCCATGGTCTAGACTCGTGAGGGGAGCTGGTGTGACACGGATGGGAGTCGTGGCCCCAGCTGTGGGCTGGGCCTGAGAGGCGGCTGGCCTGGCCGGAGTCCTGGAGGGGAGCAGCTGTACTGATGATGGGTGGATCCCTCGGAGCCCGGCCACTCCTGGGAGGGCACCAGCCTGTTGGCCGAGGGTGTGGCCGGTGGGAGCGAGACCTCCGGGACGCAGCCGCTGTGGCTGCCACATCCACGGGTGCAGGATCTCCTCTGTGTGGTCTTTGGAACCCAGGAATGCCTCATCTGAGACAGGAGACACCCCTTGCTGGGAGAGGCTCTGGCGAGCCCAGCTGTTGGCTGGCCGGCTGGGACGTGGACACGGGTGGAAGTTCAGTGTAAGGGGGGTGCTGCTCTGTGGGCTGCAGCCCACGCCTGTCAGACCAGGGATGTTTATTATCGCACTTTAAGGGGTGGGGGAGATGTTTATTGCAGCTCTGTTGGCAGTGACAAAAGATCAAAAATGGCCCGGCTGTTGTTAAGCAAAAAAACAAACAACAAAACAAATCCGGCACAAAAACATTGCAGCTGCACAGCAGTGAGTGCACATCCGTGTGGGGCAGCTGGCGTGTGTGTAGAGCGTTTCCAGGAGGCGAACTTGGCTTTGACCTCTTGTTCTTTCTACATGTCTGTACTGCTTGGGTTTTTTAAATTTTCAGAGAGTACATGTGGTCCGTACTCGGTGTTCCAAACTTTGCACAACCAGTGTAAATCCCTGGCGGGAACCTGGCACAGTGTCCAAGACGCCGCTTGTTCCGCGTCAGAGCAGAGTCCAGGTCCCGGCTCTTCCGTTCCCAGTCCAGATCTCTGGGGGGCAGCAGTGATGGCTGAAGTACTTGTGCACCTGCTGCCCCTGCAGGACACCTGGGTGCGGCTCCTGGCTCCCGACTCCAGCTCCCTGCTACTGCACGCCCTGGGAGGCAGCCGTGATGGACGTGGGTCCCTGCCACCCACATGGCGACAGCGATTGAGTTGCAGGCTCTGGCTTCAGCCAGACCCAACCCTGCATTTTCTGGAAAGCAAAATGCCAGTGTTCAGGGCTCCACCCACATAACAAATGGTAACACAAACTGCTTGGGACACCGTTGTGTTGCAGAACATTGAAGGACAGAGTCGTTGTTTAATGAAACCTTTTATAGGACTCACCGCGGTTCGGGAGGTGCTGGCACGAGCTGCACCCGGCCTGGTTCTGGTGGCTGCTGCCATCGGTCACTCTGCTCCTCCCGGCCGTGTGCCGTGTGGCTGGGGTGGAGGCGTGGCCGGCCCCGGGTGGGGAGTCCTTCCCAGTCTGGGTTGAGCCCGTGTGAGGAGCGGTATCTGTGAGTTTTGTGTTTAAATCTCGCAGCCGTTATTCTGGGTGCTGTGAGTGCAGTCACCCACGCACAGGCGTTTGGTTTGCGAAGCCTCTCTTTAGCTGGCTTCTCGGATGTGCTGTCACCTCTGAGGCGGACTCCAGGCCTGCGGCGCGTCCTCTGCGCCCTCTGGGCTTGGGAGGAGAGAAAGGATGCTTCCGGTCCCGGTCCTGGTCCCGGTCCCTTCTGCCTCCCCGCTCTTTGTCTTCCGTCTCACTTCCTGTCGGAGCCTCCCCCGTGCATTCCTGGGAGGACCAAGAACCTTGCTGACAGCTGGGGCCCCCAGATGCAGCTCCAGATGGTTGTGAAGGAAGCACCACGTCCCCCGCTGCCTCCGTTAGCACTGCAGCCAGCCAGGGAGGCGGGGTGAGCCTGCCCGGGGGCTGGCGAATGCTGCTCCCTGCCCTGGCCCCACGTCCACCTCCCCCAGGAGGTGGGGGCAAGCCTGCCCCTCTGGGCCTGTCCTGCTTCAGCCCCGAGGGATGGAGTGGGTTCCCCGTGACTGTGACGTGGGAGTTGGTCCCCTCCGTCCGTCAGTCTCAGCTCAGGGTCTGGAGCACAGCGCTCACTCCCACAGGGGCGGCTGTTCCCATTCTTGGAACGCAGCGCAGACTGCGCCGGAACGCTTAGTTTCTGCTCATGCAGAAGGGGGTGGTGTCGCTCCCCCTCTTCGTGGAGGAACGACACAGGACCCTGCATTGTTCTTTTGTCTGCTCAGCCCTCCCCGGGTTTGCTGCTGGTCCTTCCCAGGTTGGCTACCGTCCCTTCCACCTCCGTGGAAGGGCGGTTCCCCCTGCCACTTTCCCCACTTCCGCGGGGGAGCGGCACACCGCCGGCCGGCTCTCTCGGGGGCTGCACAGGTGTTCCTTCAGATAGATGTTCCTGGTGCATGTTGTCTCTCTCCTCCTTTATAGACCTCTTCCACCAATCCCAACTCTGCTACCCACACGCCGAGTACGCTGCTCTCCTCCAATCAGGAGCAGGTCCTGCAGCTTGTTGGTTGAACTGGAGGCAGCTGTGTAGAAGCTGTTTCCCTTCTCAGCGCCATATTGTGGGAAAGCAGATGCATAGAATAAGTCCTAATTCCAGTAACTTAGTCTAGTCCGAGTTGCTCCCAGTTGCTCCCCACAGGGTGGAGCTTCCACTTCCCTTGCCATGTCACAGCCTGTGCCTGCAGCCCCTCCCCTGTGGCGGCCACCTCCCTGTGTGACCCTCGGGCCAATTGGGAGTCTCCCCTGTGGCCCAGGTGAGGTACCCACCACAAAACCCAGCCTCATCGTAGGGCGATTGTTAGAGGACACGCCTGTCTCCTCCGCCACACTCGGAGTCTTGAAGAGCATCCTGTGCTTTTCTTTGTTTTTGCTCCGTGTTAGATGCATGTCCATTAAACTTAAAATTTTCCTTAATGGAGCCGGTGCTGGGCGTAACAGGTGCAGCCATGGTCTCCTGGGGGCACTGGTTCTACTCCCAGCTACTCCACTTCTGATCCATCTCCCTGAGAGTGTGTCTGGGAAAAGGTGAGAGCTGCCCTAAGTGCTTGGGCCCCTGCACCCACGTGGGAGACCAGGAAGAAGCTCCCGGCTCCTGGCTTTGGTGTGGCCCAGCCAGGGCCATCACAGCCACTTGGGAGGTGAAAAAACATATGGAAGATCTCGCTCTCTCTCTTTCTGTAACTCTGACTTTTAGATAAATAAATGTTTCACTAAATAAATAAAACATCCCTTGGCACCCTGATGAACATTGGCAGACACCCTGGGAAACACGGATACAGAATGGGGATGGAATATGTGACTGAGTGGCTGGAGATGGCAGTGGTGTTTGGACGAGAGGCTGAGTGATAACAAAGCCCTACAGCCCCAGAGCTAGTGTCTGGTTCTGAGGGGGGCAGTGTTCGGGAGCTGAGAGTGCAGTCACGTTCTGGGGGCTGGGTGGGGTCAGGAGCTGAGTGTGTGGGGTGCAGCTGTGTTCTGGGGCTGGGGTGGGGTCAGGAGCTGAGTGTGTGGGGTACAGCTGGGTTGTGGGGCTGGGGTGCAGCCGTGTTCTGGGGTGGGGTTCAGCCATGTTCCGGGGCTGGGGTGCAGCCGTGTTCCGGGGCTGGGGTGCAGCTGTGTTCCGGGGCTGGGGTGCAGCCGTGTTCTGGGGCTGGGGTGCAGCTGTGTTCCGGGGCTGGGATGCAGCCGTGTTCCGGGGCTGGGGTGCAGCCGTGTTCCGGGGCTGGGGTGCAGCCGTGTTCCGGGGCTGGGGTGCAGTCGTGTTCTGGGGCTGGGGTGTAGCTCTCTAGCACTTGGAGTCTGCAGTCATGTGAGCTGCAGCTTTAGCGTCGGCCTGTGCACAGCGTTGGAGGCCTGCAGGCCCTTGAAGGGGGTGTGTGTTTCCTTCTTCCTGCCACGCAGAACCTCTGGGAGAGAAAGCCGAGCAGCGTGCACTGCGATGCGCTATGTGCGGCGTGAGGCCGTCAGCCTCTCCCAGGGTATGGGCAGGGCCCCGGTCACAGGCCCGGGCTGCTGCGCGGCTGACTGTCTGTGGTGGCCTGGAGAGTGAGGTGGTCGTTCCGGGCTTGGTTCCTGCAGGCGGCAGCCATGCTCAGCTGTGCGGGGATAAGAGGGAGCCAACAGCTAGAGCGGCAGCTGCCATTGCTGTGTCGCCACCACTCACCGGTGTGCCGTGTGTTCTCTGCCCTTGTTCCCAGGATGCCGAGAGCGTCTCCAAGGTGCTGTGGCTGGATGAGATACAGCAAGCCATCGACGAGGCCAACTCGGACCAGGACAAAGCCAAGCAGTGTAAGCCCCGGGCCACCGCCCGCCCCGCTCACCGTGCACACTTGCGGACGGGCGCGTCACCCCTCCTCTCCAGAGTGACTCCAGCTCTCTGACCCAGGGGTCCTCTCGGGCGCGTCACCCCTCCTCTCCAGAGGGACTCCAGCTCTCTGACCCAGGGGTCCTCTCGGGCGCGTCACCCCTCCTCTCCAGAGGGACTCCAGCTCTCTGACCAGGGGTCCTCTCGGCCGCGTCACCCCTCCTCTCCAGAGGGACTCCAGCTCTCTGACCAGGGGTCCTCTCGGCCGCGTCACCCCCTCCTCTCCAGAGGGACTCCAGCTCTCTGACCAGGGGTCCTCTCGGCCGCGTCACCCCTCCTCTCCAGAGTGACTCCAGCTCTCTGACCAGGGGTCCTCTAGGCCGCGTCACCCCCTCCTCTCCAGAGGGACTCCAGCTCTCTGACCAGGGGTCCTCTCGGCCGCGTCACCCCTCTCCAGAGTGACTCCAGCTCTCTGACCAGGGGTCCTCTCGGGCATGTCTGTGCACAGACGGAGCTGGCGGCTGCCCTGATTTCGGTGACTAGACGCTGTCTAGTCGGAATGGTGATGTCGCCCTGCAGAGCCCAGAGGTCACAGGTGGATCCAGGCCCTCTCCGTTCGTAATTGAATCCAGTCCTTTTGTTCTCGAGAATACTGGCCTGTTTCTGCTTAGCAAGTGCTTCTCCTCCTCCGTCCACACCCTCTGCTGCTGTTGGTCGGGGGTTTCCAGAGAAACACAGCCAGTAGATTGGGTGGCCTGGTGGATAGATGGGTGGGTGGCTGGCTGGGTGGACAGGTGGGTGGGTGGACTGATGGATAGCTGGGTGGGTGGACATGTGGCTGGGTGGACTGAAGGATGGCTGGGCAGACAGACAGACGCACCATCTGGCCTTGTAAGAGTAGATTTGGCTCCTAAGGAACTGGCTCGCCAGATGAGGGGCTGGCACGCTCCCGTGTTTGTCACCCCAGGAAGCAGGCTTGGCGCCCATCAGGGCACCGTGGGTGGAGCGGGCTGGAGGCAGTGGTGCAGCTGGGAGGGAGGATCCTTGCTTGCCACATAACGTGGGAGAGCCCTGCACACGTGGACGGCGAGATGGGTTGCATCACACAACAACACGTGGACAGCGAGATGGGTTGCATCACACAACAGTGTTGTTGCCAGTCAGCCAGCCCATAGTTTTTAGACCCAAGGCCTATGGAGTGGACCCTGTGGTCCACTGGTCAGAGCAGGAGCCAGTGGGGGTTGTGGTGCAGGGTGTTGGGCTCAGGTCCCTCTCACAGTGGGCCTGGTGGGTGCCCCCCATGCCTGTGCTGGCCTGCCCAGGCCCAAAGGTGCAGCGGGATAGACATGTGGCCCCCAGCAGAGTCCCTAGGCTGGTTCACAAGGCAGCATTTCCTACTGCATTTTTTCTTAGATTTATTTATTAGAGAGGCAGAGTTACAGAGAGGCAGAGGCAGAGAGAGAGACAGAGAGAGATGCCTTCAGTCCACTGGTCCACTCCCCAAATGGCTGCAGTAGCTGGAGCTGAGTCGATCCAAAGCCAGGAGCCAGCAGTTTCTTCCAGGTCTCCCACGTGGGTGCAGGGGCCCAGGGACTTGGGCCATCTTCTACTGCTTTCCCAGGCCATCAGCAGGGAGCTGGATGGGAAGAGGAGCAGCTGGGACTGGAACTGGTGCCCACATGGGATGCGGGCACTGCAGGCAGAGGCTTAGCCCATTTTCAGCCTCTGTTCAGGGAGGGATGGTGTGGACATTCACGTGGCAGCGTGGAGTAGCTTCCAAAGCAACCAAGTACACGCGTCCCTACACCAGGGCAACACGGCCCCGGGCAGTGCTGCTCGTCAGCCGGCCCACTGCCGGAGGGTCTGGACCCTGCTCCATGCTGTGCGGGAAGAGGCCGCCCCCAGGACCTCCCTGCCTCACTCAGAGACGTGCCCTGAGACCGTGGGAGCTTCTGGGAGGAGCATCTGGGTTGCACTTCCTTCACTTGGAAAACTACGTGCGTTTCTCTGACCTGCCCTCGGACCCCTGGGGACCTTGACGTCCTCCCTTCGTGCACTGTCATCCTTAAGAAAAACAACAGCTGAGACGTGTGCAAGGGAGATGTGAGTGTAGACCCAGGGCAGGGAGATGTGAGTGTAGACCCAGGGCAGGGAGATGTGAGTGTAGACCCAGGGCAGGGAGATGTGAGTGTAGACCCAGGGCAGGGAGATGTGAGTGTAGAACCCGGGCAGGGAGGTGTGAGTGTAGACCCAGGGCAGGGAGATGTGAGTGTAGACCCAGGGCAGGGAGGTGTGAGTGTAGACCCAGGGCAGGGAGGTGTGAGTGTAGACCCAGGGCAGGGAGGTGTGAGTGTAGACCCAGGGCAGGGAGATGTGAGTGTAGACCCAGGGCAGGGAGGTGTGAGTGTAGACCCAGGCAGGGAGGTGTGAGTGTAGACCCAGGGCAGGGAGGTGTGAGTGTAGACCCAGGGCAGGGAGATGTGAGTGTAGACCCAGGGCAGGGAGGTGTGAGTGTAGACCCAGGGCAGGGAGGTGTGAGTGTAGAACCCGGGCAGGGAGATGTGAGTGTAGACCCAGGGCAGGGAGGTGTGAGTGTAGACCCAGGGCAGGGAGGTGTGAGTGTAGACCCAGGGCAGGGAGGTGTGAGTGTAGACCCAGGGCAGGGAGGTGTGAGTGTAGACCCAGGGCAGGGAGGTGTGAGTGTAGACCCAGGGCAGGGAGGTGTGAGTGTAGACCCAGGGCAGGGAGGTGTGAGTGTAGAGCCCGGGCAGGGAGGTGTGAGTGTAGAGCCCGGGCAGCTGTGGTCTTAGAGCCCCTGCTGAGACGCAGAGAAGCAGACGCGGGGGTCCTGGAGCGCATGTGGAGTTTGCTGAGCGATGAAGCCCGCTCCGGAGTTGCTCCGTTCCTCTCGCTGTCGCTCTTGCATTGGCCCGCCAGCCTTGGTTTGCTTCTCATGTTGAGTGCCCCGAGTGTGTGTGCCCGTGCTCAGGGAGACCCCGTCTTCCTCTGCCCTGCCCCTGGAGCATGGCCGCACGTCTGTCCTCGTCTCTAGCAGCAGAAAGATTTTGCGCAAAACCAGCCCGGTGCTCAATGGAAAGGGGATTTCCTGGGCTTTCGGGGGAGTGCGGTCTCCTGTGGATAGCAGTCTCCATCCTTTGCATGAAGACTTAGAGGATTTGCCCCGTGTTGGGATCACCCGGCCCACGCCCAGCTGACTGCGTAAAGAAACACGTTGGCCGGCCCCTTTCACCACGGGTGGGGCTTAAAGGGCTCTGTGTCCCATGCTCATTCCCACCTTGGGCTTGCCTCTGCATGTCTAAGCATTTACTTATTTGTTTGAAAGAGTGAGAGAGAGAGATCTTCTATCTGCTGGCTTACTCTCCAGGAGGCCACAGTAGCTGCAGCTAAGCTGGGCTGAAGCCAGGATCTCCATCCGGGTCTCCCACTTGGGGGACAGGAACCCAGGAGCATTAGCAGAGAGCTGGACCGGAGGCAGAGGTGTTACCAGTCATGGAGGGGACGGCCGTTGCCGGGGCAGGCTTCCTGGGTTCTTTCCCTCAGCTCAGTACAGAAATAAAAAGCCAGGAAACAATTTGCAAAGAAGCGGAAACTTTTGATTGGCAAGAGAGAGAAAGCGTCTGGTCCGAGAGGAGACCAGGTGGAGGGCCCGAACGGGACACTGGCTTGGAGGAAGTGCCCAGGGTCTTAAGGCATCACTGTCTGCTCATTGGGCCATTCTGGGGGGGATGCCCATTGGACGGGGGTTTCACATACCGTATGTTGATTGGCTTGAGGCTCATGGAGATAGCGGGGGTCTTCTTGGGGGGCTCAGCCCCCTCCTTTGCTAGCTCTGAGTGCAAGATTGCAACTTAACTTAAAGATGTGATTTAAAACTGCAGGGTCACACGTGTGGCACGGGAAGCTGTAGTTGGGCAGATGCCGGCTGGTCTGGAGACAGCTTTCCAGCCACAGCCGGCAGCCTGCTTGTGAAGGACATTCCGCCTGCGTCAGAGGGGCCCACAGACCCCAGCCCCGCTCTGCGGCCTCCAGAGGCACCAGGACCTGAGTCAGGGCTGTGACACGAGATGCAGGTGTCCCGAGTGGCAGGATAATGCCCTGTATCTCACCGTCGGCCCCTGCCTCTCCTTTTGACTTCTTAGAGTCAAACCATTTCTTCATTAGTGTGCCCTAAGGAATCGTGTCACATTGGCCCAGTCACTCCTCACCCCCTCCAGTTTCTCCCTGCTGGGGTGTCCTGTGGCCCCCTGGGAATGTCTTGGCATGTGGCTGGCCTGGGCTTACCAGGTAAAGCCAGCTTCAGTCTCTTAGGGGTCATTCCTCATTTGTTCCTCGGCACAAGCACCCGACACCTGGGCTGTCTGGACCAGCCCACGACTCACAGGTGGAGGCAGGCGTGGTCGGCACGTGTCCCAGAGCCCGCGCGGGGACTGCTCTGCTGTGCCCACTGGCGCCGTGGCAGACGCCCGCCTGGATTCCATCCTCCTGAGTACGACTCTGGCAGCTGTGGCTGTTGCTCGTCCCACTCAGAGTACATTGAAGCCACCGGGGGCCAGTGCCGGGGTCTCAGGCAGGCACACGGATGCCGGGAGGAAGCCATAGCAGTGCGGAGGACGGGGCAGGGGTGCGGGAGCCACGCCCGCTGTCGGCCCTGACACCTGCTCACTGTGCTTCAGCGCGGGGCAATGGCAGGGGTGCAGGGCCTCCTAACAGCTCTCAGCAAACATTGAGCACCTGCCATGTTCCAGGCACCACCGAAACCGAGCAGCAAGCTAGCGCGCGTTTGTGCAGCCTTCTCTTGGGCGTGTGTTATGTTTTCACAGGAAGTGGCTCCATCAGGGTGAGAGCTGGTACAGAACACAACTCCTCACAGGTCCACGCTGCGTCTCCCTCCACCCCTCAGGGCTCTCCTGGGGAAGAGGAGGGGTGCATGTGTTGTACGTGGTTTATATGTGTGGTATGTATGTGGTGCATGTGGGGGGGGTGTGGATAGCATGTATGTGGTGTGTGTTATGTGGGGGTATGTATGTGGTATATGTGGTGTGTGTTGGGCATATGTGTGGTACATGTGTGTATAGTATGTGTGGTGTGTTGGTAGTATGTGGCGTGTATGTGGTGTGTTTGTGTGGGCTGGTTATGTGTGTGGTGTAGGGGTATATGTGTGGTACATGTGTGTGTTGGGCGTTGAGGTGCATATGTGTGTATAGTGTGTGGTGTATATGTAGTATATGGCATGTGTGTGGCATGTATGTGGTATATGATATGTAGGTGGTGTGTGTTATGTGTGGTGTGTGTGTGTGTGGCATATAGTGGTATGTGTTTGGTGTGTGTGTGGTGTGGGAGTATTGTGTGCTGCATGGTGTGTGGTAGATATGTGTGTGTTTGGTGTGTGTATGGTGTGGGAGCATTGTGTGCTGCATGGTGTGTGGTAGATATGTGTGTGTGTGGTGTGGTGTGTGTGTGTGGTGTGGGAGCATTGTGTGCTGCATGGTGTGCGGTAGATATGTGTGTGTGTGGTGTGGTGTGTGTGTTTTGTCATTGCTACTGTTCTACTTTTCTAATTCGGTGCATTTGCCGGCTGGGAAAACAGTGGTTCTGTTGCTGGGCCAGAGCATTCGTAGTTGGAACTAAAGTTACGATGAAGAGTCAGAGTTAGCTTTGCCTACCAAGAGATTATTATGTTTCTTTCACGTGGAGAGACAGAGATCTGAGATGGAGGAGATGCCTGAGGTCAGCACTGGCTCCAGAACTGGTTTCTGGACTCCTGCACATACCGGCCAGCCGTGCCTTTCTGGAACGTTGTAGAACGCTTGTTTAGGTTGCCAATGACGGCCCTGACAAGGTCAGAAGCACCACACAAGACAGCATAGGATTTCCGTAACATAGTAGCGTTTTGTTTGTTGGGAGATGAGTCAGTGTCTTCATAGAGCGTGTTCTCAAGTACCCATGAGCTCCGCAGGTGAAATCCTGCGGGTTCCTGTCACCTGTGTTCCCGTGGAGCCTTGTTCTCGCAGGCTGCACCCGAGGGGAGAGGTGGACGCCGGCTCAGGCCCTCGCAGGACGGACTCCCAAAGGGCAGAAGGGCCGACTCTCGAGGGCTCCCGAAAGGCTGAGCTGCGTGTTTGCGTGCCCTTGGAGGAGGTGGGAAGCAGCCCTTAACAGACATGTGTTTTGTTGGCCAGGGATCACGCTGGTGGTCGACGTCAACCAGTGTTTGGAGGGGGTGCAGCCAAGTGACATCTTGTCCGTCTTGAAGTCCTGCACGTGTCACCCGCACGACATCCTGCCCGAGTGTGCTGACAGCTACCACAACTCCCTTGCGAAGGCAAAACAGCTCAAGTCTGAGCGAGGTGAGTTTTCCTTACTGCGCGTGAGCTCTAAATGCCTTTTACGTGTGATGGCTCTGTGGTTTAGACAAGGGCTGCGTTCGGTGAGCGTTTCTGAGACGGTTTTGTCAGCTGTCTGGAAGGAGACTGTTGGGATAGTTCTGCTCTCTGTCCTGGGAAGCTGGGGTTGACTCGGCGACAGTACCGGTGGCTCCATGCCATGAGGACAGTGTGTTATTTAAGGGGACCCGGTGCTGTGTGGCCCTTGGCTGTTAGCCACCTTGCAGGGACAGAAAGGGATTTCTGCTCTGATTTCCCCCAGGCAATGCCAGCCCAGCAGTAGGGATGCGAGGACAGGAGTTGGGAGTGAGAGGGAAGCCGAGCAGCAACCTTGGCCGGTGTTTGTGTCTGCTCACTGCTGTGCCCTTGAGGTCATGCAGCTTCAGATTTAGAAACTGACACTGATGGGATCTCAGGCAGAGGCAGAAAATGGCTGACCCAAGGACAGTTGGGTTTTTTAAAATTACTGTTTTTTATTTGTTTGAGAGGCAAAGAGACACAGACCAAGATCTCCTGTCCACTGGTTGGCTCAGGTGGCTGCAGTAGCTGGGGCTGGGCCAGAGCCAAAGCTGGGAGCTGGGGATCCAGCCCGTGTCTCCCGTGTGGCTGGCTAGGACCATCCCTGCACTATCACTGCCGCCTCCCGTGGTCTGCGTCAGCAAGAATGGAGTGAGGGTCCAGAGCTGGAAACCAAGCCCAGGCGCTCTGTGTGCGATGTGCTGCCTTCATCACGGCTGTTCAATCCACCGTTCCTCCAGCAGCTCTCTACCGAGCACCCAGTGTGTCCCACCGTGAAGGATCAGGGTGTCGCCCAGCGTCCAGGCAGATGTTTGCACCACACTGTGGGGCGTCTGTGTGGCATTAGTCACTTCAGAGACACAATGACAGTGGATGGCCCAGAAGTGGACTTAAGGGGGAAGAGACCTTTTTAGTTCAACTGGAAGACTGACTACCAATCCCTGTGTGCTTTTCAACTTACTTGATGTATTTCAGACTTGGAAGTCCCACCCTCCAATTCAGCAAACTTTCTGTTGGCAAAATGTAGGGAGGGCTGTTGACCACTGTCTCTTTAAAAAATGTGTTTATTTATTTTGAAAGAGTTACAGAGAGAGGGAGGTGGCTATCTTCTGTCCACTGACTGGTTCACACCCCAGATGGCCTCAGAGGCCAGCACTGGGCCAGGCCAAAGTCCAGAATGAGGAGCATCCTTCAGGTCTTCCACATGGGTGAGAGCTGGCCCATCATTTGCTGCTTTCCCGGGCTATTAGCAGGGAGCCGGATGGGAAATGGAGCCGCCAGGACTGGAACCAGCACCCACATGGGAGGCTGGCATTGCCAAAGGCAGCAGCTTTACCCCGAGGCCACAGTGCCTGCCTCCGACCGCTGTCTTACCTGGGCCTCCTTGATCCCTCTCTGTTCCCTTCACGTTTCTTTGTCAGGAGTGAACGTAACATCCTCTGCCTTATCCTTCGTGGGAAGGGGTTGTGCACCTATGTGCATGGGGAGATTGGGCTCCTAGGGGACCGAGCGTTATGTCCAATCAAAATTCAGTCTGTCTGCTCCCTTCTAAATGAGCTACCACACTTCAGACACTGTGTTTCTTTAGATTCATTCTTCAGCCGGGGCAGTGAGTGTAGGTCATGTTGGGTCTTACATGCTTGTGTTGAGTCTTACATGGTTGTGTTGGGTCTGTAGGTCATCTTGGTCTGTAGATCATGATGGATCTGCAGATGCTAGGCTGGATCTGTACAACGTGTCAGATCTTACATGGTTGTGTTGGGTCTGTAGGTCATCTTGGTCTGTAGATCATGTTGGATCTGCAGATGCTAGGCTGGATCTGTACCACGTGTCAGATCTTACATGGTTGTGTTGGGTCTGTAGGTCATCTTGGTCTGTAGATCATGATGGATCTGCAGATGCTAGGCTGGATCTGTACAACGTGTCAGATCTTACATGGTTGTGTTGGGTCTGTAGGTCATCTTGGTCTGTAGATCATGTTGGATCTGCAGATGCTTGGCTGGATCTGTACCACGTGTCAGATCTTACATGGTTGTGTTGCATCTGCAGACATTTGTGTTGGGTCTGTAGATCATGTTGGGTCTTACATGGTTGTATTGGGTCTGTAGGTCATCTTTTTTTTTTTTAATTTTTTTTGACAGGCAGAATGGACAGTGAGAGAGAGAGACAGAGAGAAAGGTCTTCCTTTTTGTTGCTGGTTCACCCTCCAATGGCCACCGCGGCTGGCGCACCACACTGATCCTAAGCCAGGAGCCAGGTGCTTCTCCTGGTCTCCCATGGGGTGCAGGGCCCAAGCACTTGGGCCATCCTCCACTGCACTCCCTGGCCACAGCAGAGAGCTGGCCTGGAAGAGGGGCAACCGGGACAGAATCCAGCGCCCCGACCAGGACTAGAACCCGGTGTGCTGGCGCCACAAGGCGGAGGATTAGCCTATTGAGCCGCGGTGCTGGCTGTAGGTCATCTTGGTCTGTAGATCCTGTTGGATCTGTAGATGATTGTGTTGGGTCTGTAGACATTTGTGTTGCATCTGTGAATTATTGTTAGGTCTGTAGACAGTGTGTTGGAGCTATCGGTGAGTTGTTAGAGGTGTAGATCAGTTTGAGGAGTGTGTGTCTTGTCACGCGTGTAGAGGGATACCTGCTGTCTTAAGTCCCCTTCCATTCTTTCACGATGTTCTCTAGCTTTTGCTTACAGGGTTCACATGCTTTTTCTTAGATGTACTCCCTAAGTATTTTGTCATTTTATGCTATCGTAAATACTGTCTTCCTCATTAGATTTTGGGGTTACTCATTGGCAGCATACAAATCTCTCCTCCACATGCAATAAAATGCATCCTTTTATAAAAGTGTGCGATTCAGAGGCTTTTGAGAGATTCATACAACTGCACATCCAAGACCTGCAGACAATTGCAGAACACTTCTATCACACGAGAAAAGCAAAAGAAAGCTCATCCCAGCGACACCCCCACCCCTCCACAGCCCCGGGCACCCTCTGCTCTCCTTCCGTCTCCGTGTCCCTGTGCTGGGGGCTCCTGTGGGGACCCGCAGTGACTGGCTCTTCCGTCTCCGTGTCCCTGTGCTGGGGGCTCCTGTGGGGACCCGCAGTGACTGGCTCTTCTTCCATCTCCGTGTCCCTGTGCTGGGGGCTCCTGTGGGGACCCCACAGTGCACTGGTTCTCCTTCCGTCTCCATGTCCCTGTGCTGGGGGCTCCTGTGGGGACCCGCAGTGACTGGCTCTTCCATCTCCGTGTCCCTGTGCTGGGGGCTCCTGTAGGGACCCGCAGTGACTGGCTCTTCCATCTCCGTGTCCCTGTGCTGGGGGCTCCTGTAGGGACCCGCAGTGACTGGCTCTTCCATCTCCATGTCCCTGTGCTGGGGGCTCCTGTGGGGACCTGCAGTGACTGGCTCTTCTTCCATCTCCGTGTCCCTGTGCTGGGGGCTCCTGTGGGGACCCGCAGTGACTGGCTCTTCCGTCTCCATGTCCCTGTGCTGGGGGCTCCTGTGGGGACCTGCAGTGACTGGCTCTTCTTCCATCTCCGTGTCCCTGTGCTGGGGGCTCCTGTGGGGACCCGCAGTGACTGGCTCTTCCGTCTCCATGTCCCTGTGCTGGGGGCTCCTGTGGGGACCCGCAGTGACTGGCTCTTCTTCCATCTCCGTGTCCCTGTGCTGGGGGCTCCTGTGGGGACCCGCAGTGACTGGCACTTCCATCTCCGTGTCCTGTGCTGGGGGCTCCTGTGGGGACCCGCAGTGACTGGCTCTTCCATCTCCGTGTCCCTGTGCTGGGGGCTCCTGTGGGGACCCGCAGTGACTGGCTCTTCCATCTCCGTGTCCCTGTGCTGGGGGCTCCTGTAGGGACCCGCAGTGACTGGCTCTTCCATCTCCATGTCCCTGTGCTGGGGGCTCCTGTGGGGACCTGCAGTGACTGGCTCTTCTTCCGTCTGCATGTCCCTGTGCTGGGGGCTCCTGTGGGGACCTGCATTGCACTGGCTCTTCTTCTGTCTCCATGTCCCTGTGCCGGGGGCTCCTGCAGGGACCCCTCAGTGCACTGGCTTTTCCGTCTGGCCGCGTCCTCCCAGCAGCAGGTTTCCAGAGCCCGTTGATGTGGAGTGGGTATCATTCCTTCCTTCCTTATAGTGGCTGATTGCGGTGTCGAGTGGATTTGCCTCCTTGTGTGGCCAGTTGCAGTGTGTCAGCTGGATTTGCCACGTTGTGTGGCCATAAATTGCGGTGTGTCGAGAGGATTTGCCACATTGTGCTCATCACAGGGCAGAATTTGAGCTTTCCCCCACTTTGGGCTCTGCTGAGTGGCCGTGATGGGAACATTCACAGCCACATTTTTGCATGCAGTTGGTTTTTCTGTGTTGCTCTGTGTCCTTGATAAACTCACTCATTCTAATGACTTCTAGTGGGTTCCTTGCGAATAGGTTTCTGTGCTGTGATGGCTCCCCTGGGGCACCTCTGTCGAGAGCTGAGAACGATCCACAGACCACAGCCCACAAGCTCAAGATGCCCTGTTGTCACCCTGTGCTCTGGACAGGCAGTGAGAGGCCACTTCCCCCAGACGCAGCTGTGTGTGTCGTCTCTGAGGTGCACGGGGTGAGTTATTCTCACCTCTCTCAGCACTGCCTCCAGGATGCAGGGGCCCAGTCAAGGTGGACGCTTCAGCCTGGCCATGGCTCTGCCCTTACACACTGGTGTGGTTTTTACCCAGCAGCACCCCGGAGGCAACCCTGCTCTCTGCAAGTTCACCACCTTAACCATTGAGGCCCCCTGCCCCCAGCACGGCCACCACCTTAACCATTGAGGCCCCCTGCCCCCAGCACAGCCACCACCTTAACCATTGAGGCCCCTTGCCCCCAGCACAGCCACCACCGTAACCATTGAGGCTCCCTGCCCCCAGCATGGCCACCACCTTAACCATTGAGGCCCCCTGCCCCCAGCACAGCCACCACCTTAACCATTGAGGCTCCCTGCCCCCAGCACGGCCACCACCTTAACCATTGAGGCCCCCTGCCCCCAGCACAGCCACCACCTTAACCATTGAGGCCCCCTGCCCCAGCACAGCCACCACCTTAACCATTGAGGCTCCCTGCCCCCAGCACGGCCACCACCTTAACCCCTGAGGCCCCCTGCCCCCAGCCAGGCCACCACCTTAACCCCTGAGGCCCCCTGCCCCCAGCACGGCCACCACCTTAACCATTGAGGCTCCCTGCCCCCAGCACGGTCACCACCTTAACCATTGAAGCTCCCTGCCCCCAGCCAGGCCACCACCTTAACCATTGAGGCCCCCTGCCCCCAGCACGGCCACCACTGTAACCATTGAGGCTCCCTGCCCCCAGCACAGCCACCCCCTTAACCATTGAGGCTCTGCTACCCCCAGCACGGCCACTACCTTAACCCCTGAGGCCCCCTGCCCCCAGCACGGTCACCACCTTAACCCCTGAGGCCCCCTGCCCCCAGCACGGTCACCACCGTAACCATTGAGGCTCTCTGCTGTGGCTGCGTCCAAGGCCCGCAGGACTTTTCCCTCAGGGACGAGGCAGCTGCACGCAGCCCCTCTGCTGGCACCCAGCGCTCGGCGGCCTCTGTCCTAGCATGGGTTGCAGTGTCCGTGGAGGTGTGGACTCCTGCCTGCCTCCTAGCCTCTGCCAGCCCGGTGCACGTGCTTCCGGGAACCCCTGCGCACTCAGCTCGCACTCCCGGGAGAGAACACGTTTTCAGCGCCTTCATTCCCTTCTTCCCTGCCCTCGGAGTCCCACTGAGTCTCTGTAAGAAAAGTGATGCTTCTAAACGCATCCGTGTTGCGGCTGAACCGTCACGCTTACCTGTGACGTCCCGGCCTCGCTGCACGGGACGCTCGCTAGGCCGCCAGCACAGACCACACTTTCGTCCTCGGGTGCACTCCCCAGGCGACCACAACAGCCAAGCCTCGGCCAGGCTGAAGTCAGGAGGCAGGAAGTCCATCAGGTCTCTTGTGTGGGCAGCACCTGGGCCGTCGTCTGCCTCCCGCCTCCCAGGCACATTAGCAGGGAGCGGCACTGACAGCAGAGCAGCCGGGCTGGGACCAGTACTCAGATGTGGGGCGCAGGGGTCACACGTCACACTGACCCATCACACTGTACCGCCTGCCCCTAGCAGCAGCACTTCTAACCAGGGGAACTGGCAGGGTGCCCACATGGGCCCACAGAGGAGGACAGCTGAGGGATTTGAACCGGACAGAACCAGCGCATGCTAGAGGGCCATGTCGCTCGTCATCAAGTGCACCCAAGTATGGAGTGAAGAAATCCAGGGGAGGGCGTTTGGCCAGCACTGAAGATGCCGCGTCCCAGTGTGGAGTACCCGGGGTCAGCCCCAGCCCCGGCTTCTGGCTCCAGCTTCCTGCGGGGACTCAGCTGGGAGGAAGTGGTGCTGCCTCAGATGGGAGGCCTGGGCTGAGCTGCTGGCCCCTGACCGCGGGGAGTCCCTGGAAAGGTTGCCAGCGAAGAGGACCTCGGCTGCGGCGTGCGGGCTCTCCCGCTCCGGGACCCGTCCTCTTTGCTTTTCCTCCTCTGACTGTCGCACGCGTGAGAGGGCCGGGGCCCAGAGCCGGCTGCAGACGTGTGTCTCCCCACCTCGGTGGCTTAGCAGGGAGCCACCGCTGCGTGCTCAGGGTTCATTGCGTGTCTGGCGTTTGCTGGCGACTCAGTCTCTGAACACACACGCGGTGGCATACGTGTCTGTTGAATTACTTAACGTACGGAAGAGGCTACACTCACGGGTAGGGATTCGGGTACCTCTGCAGAAGTTAACAAGCGTCTCTCTTCAGTGTCTAGTGAAGGACCGTGGCTCAAATTCCCCGTGAAGGAGGATCAGGACTACTATTACAACGTCGATTCCAAGGCGGGCTCCTGGGTCACACCGGAGCCGTGCTTGACCAAGGACTCGTGGCTCACAGGACAAGAAATCCAGGTGGGTGCTGCTGTGTGTGACGGGACGTGGAGCTGTGAGAGCAGTGTGGCGGCTTCCCCGTAGCTGGGTCACGGCAGAGCTGGAAGGAGCTGGCTGACTCTTTCCAAGAATAGACGTGGGAGGAAGTCTTCACGGCTGCGGTTGGATGTGTCTGCTGCTTGTGGAATTGTTTCCATGTAGGCCTAAAACCAGCGGAGCAGGAAGGTTGTCCCGAGCCATCAGCCTGCAGGATTCCCTCCGCACGGCTCACCCACGGGCCAGAATCCCCTGGGGTCAGCACTTGGAATGTCTTATTTCTTTCCCTCTCAGCTGACAACTTAGCACAGTGCTTTTCAAATCAGAATGTCCCAGAGGGGCTGCGTCTGCCACACACGGAGCCAGCCCTCTCTGCATGGTGGCCTCAGCGCTGATGGCAGAGGGCACAGCATGGGTCAGCCTTGCACATTTGCTTCCCCTGAGATGGTTGTCATAGCCCACCGAGCGTGATTTCTGGAGCCCTGAGCATTGCCATTCTGAGACAGTCGCCTTGACACAGAGCTCTGGGACACCCTCTAGGAGGGTGGTTGTTTAACTTGGTTTCCATAGCTCTGAGGATACCCGTTTCCAAATTAAGTGCAAGCGACACAGTTCCGTGTAGTTTCATGGCTTGTGATCAATGGACATAACAGTTTTTATTTAACCACTAAAGGTCCCTCTACCTAACTTTTGAGCCTTGCGAAGCTTTGGTCAACCAGATTTTACTGACCAGGACCAGTCAGTCCCTCCTCCTACTGCTTTTCTAACAGAAGTCCTGTGTGAGTGGTTCCTGGCCGACATCTTGTTGGGGCAGAGAAGCAGTGCGTTGGTTGCTGTCAGGTTTGGGATAGCTCAGGGCTCTGGCCTTTCGTAGCTCCCAGGAAAGAGAGATGAGAGGAAGGAGAAGGAGACCGACCTCAGCAGAGGCGGATTGCTTTATGGGAGCAAAGAGAGCCGTCCGTCTGTTCTTACGAGACAGCACACAGCGCGTGTGGGCTGGGCTTTTATCTGGCTGAAGAGGGAACTGGCCGCCTTGGGAAGTAGGGGGCTTGCAGCTGGTGGGGTAGAGAGTGGGGGCCTTTAGAAGCTGCTGGGAGCTTTCCTCTTATCTGTGTAATGAGCCGCCCGAGCCCTTATCTGTTTTGCCAGCTGCTTTGCAGAGGTCTGGGGGAGGTTGGGCTTGGTTCCTGCACCAGGGGTCTCAAGAGGAGGAAGTGGGGGAGGGTGACATTCCGTGGGCTTTGTTGCTGTGGGGAGCCGCCGCCTCCCCGTGTGCCTTGTCCGTGGGCGTCCTGACTCCTTCCCCGGTGTCCCTCGGATTGCGTTCCTACAGGAGCGGGGCTTGTCTTCACAAAGGAGGAAGACAAACAGGAGCAGAGCCGTGGGAAATCGGGGTGAAGCGCCCCTTGCGCTGTGTTCTGGGTCCTTTCCTTCCTTCCATTCTTCGCTTCTCCGGCCCTACGTAAAGAGGCCACAGGAGCAGCGTGGTGGCGTGATTAGATCTGCGTGTTTGTTTTCTCAGTTCACACAAATAAGAGCCGGATGCTTGGCCGAGATTTCCTCAAGCAACGGCCGAGCGGATCTGGCCGGAAGGGGCTTCTTAGTGAGGTTCCTCTCTGTGGGAGCCTGGGGGGCGGTCGTGGAGGAGCAGGAGGGAGAGAAGCTGCAAGAACGTGACGCCAGTGTCACCCACCCTTGTGACACACGCTGTCTGAGATGTGGGGGCGGTGGCACATGCCCAGAGAGCCCACAGCCCTGCCCGTCAGGCCTCTATACGCCACACGGCCGCCGTGTGCCCCTTGTCTGTGTAGCGTGCCTGGCCATGCACTTTCACATCGCTCTGATCCCCACACCGTCCCCTAGTGGGGGCAAAACAGATGCCAACAGCTGCGTTGTGCTGGGGGGGACGAGGCACCAGCAGGTGCAGCCGCGTGCATGGCGCTCGTTGGCGGAGGTCTGTCCCCAGGGCTCTCCCTTCGCAGCCGGCGTGCTGCTTCCCCGGGTGTGGTCGTGGGGGTGAGCCAGTTCCAGCCCACGCCCGTCACTCTGCAGTCGGTGACACAAGATGGGCACGACGAGGACATTAATTCAGTCCCAGAGGCCTAGGACCTTTAGCAAGTGAGTCGCGCTTCCCCGGGGAAGCAGCCCAGGAGTTGTTCGCCAAGGCTTTCAGGCTGAAGACCAAAAGTTGGGCCAGGAGATGTGGATCCGGGCCTTGCGGATGTCTGACGAGAACACACTGACGATGACTGAGTTCCGTTGTGGAAGTGAAAAACCCAGCCTGCAGCGCAGGTCTCCTAGAAGCCCCACAGGGCAGCATGGCCGTGTGCCTCGCCGTGCGGCACTGAACGACACCATGTGCGGCCTCTGCTGAAGCTGAACCGGACCGAGTCCGGGGCTGCTTCGGTGACAAAGGTTCCTGGTGACAAGAAGAGAGTGGAGCGCGTAGCTTGTACGACTTCTAGGTGGCAGTGGATTCTTAGCGCCAGTTTTTTGAAAAATGAAATTATGGACAGTACTAAATTTGCACTGCATCATGGGAAAGTCACACCGAGCTGCGAAGAAGCAACGTGGAAGAGTTGCTGTTTGGTGTGAAATCGTCAGAAGACGCCCAGGGCTGCTCACACGCGCCCAGCGCCAGTCTGCTAGGATCGTTAGCCGTGCGGCTCTCGGCCTGCTCCGTAGCTGGAGTTACTGACTGCACGCGGTGTTCAGGCCTTCTCTGGGGGGCTCAGGTGTCCGTCACGAGCCGTCACTGTCGGCTGTTGCAGGTGACCGGCCAGTCCGCGTTCTGCCTGCCCTGGCTCGGCACCACCGGCACAGCAGAGGTGCAGCCGTGGCTTTGGGTCTCTCACTGAGTGCCCACCGCATAACTTCTCACAACCCCTTCTTCCCTCCATGTCCCCTCCCTCTCCTGCCCTTGACCTTGCTCCTTCCTCCTCCCTCCACCCCGGGAATTGGGAAGGAGCGCTTTGGTGAAACCTGTCTCTAAACCGAGCCAAAAAGAGCTTTCCGCACCGTCGTCTGCGAGGTGACGTCCCCAGAAGCTGTCGTGTTCTGCTTCCCAGCCGCGTGTGACGTGTAACGTGACACATGTCTCTTGCCAGGACATCGTGGAGAAGGTCACGGAAGAACACATCCGGGAGAAGATGTGGTCGGCGTCCCACGAGTCGCTCCTCCGCTTTCAGAGCACGAGCTTCGGGCCCCGCCTCAGCCAAGAGTTTGAAGCCAGGAAAGCGTTTCTGAGCGAACAGGAAGGGAGTGCGGTCAAAATCCAGGTAGGTGAGGCTCCTCCCGCTGCGTAGCGCAGGCCGCCCGGCCCCGGAGGCGGCCACTGGCCAAGTGTAGGGACGCCAGCCTCGAGCATCAGGCGGGCTCCCTCGGTCAGTGCCCCCAGGCACCTGCTGTCCACCTGCAGAGCGGTGGCGTCTTGATGATGGGACGCAGAGCCAGGGGACAGCTCCCGTCAGAGTCCACACGCTCTGAAAGGCGGCGTGTGCGTGTCGCCCCCGCTGCCTGCGGTGCTGGGCCGTTTGCCGTCCGCGGCTGTGTGTGGCGCTGTTTGCCGTCCGTGGCTATGTGTGGCGCTGTTTGCCGTCCATGGCTGTGTGTGGCACCGTTTGCCGTCCGTGGCTGTGTGTGGCGCCGTTTGCCGTCCGTGGCTGTGTGTGGCGCCATTTGCCGTCCGTGGCTGTGTGTGGCGCCGTTTGCCGTCCGTGGCTGTGTGTGGTATCGTTTGCCGTCCGTGGCTGTGTGTGGCACCATTTGCTGTCCGTGGCTGTATGTGGCGCCGTTTGCCGTCCGTGGCTGTGTGTGGTGTCGTTTGCCGTCCGTGGCTGTGTGTGGCACCGTTTGCCGTCCGTGGCTGTGTGTGGCGCTGTTTGCTGTCCGTGGCTGTGTGTGGCGCCGTTTGCCGTCCGTGGCTGTGTGTGGCACCGTTTGCTGTCCGTGGCTGTGTGTGGCGCTGTTTGCCATCCGTGGCTGTGTGTGGTGAGTGGCGTCTGAGTTTCCGAGCCCGCAGAGCCTGTAGGAACAGAAGAGCAAGTTAAATAAAGGCAGCGAGTGCCCGGGGCCGTCTCCACACTCCCGACACGCTGCCGTTTCACTGGGGCCGGCCGGGAAGTCCCTGTTCCCCACTGAGTCTGGCAGGCGCAGAGCCCGCCACGCCCACAGGCTCTCCGCCCAGCTGCCCCGAGTCCACAGTGATGCCGTCACTGACCACTGACCGCCTGCATGTTCGGGGTTTGCTTTGCTCGATAACCGTGGAATTCCTGGAGCCCCTCGTGCGTGTGCTGCGGCGTCTGTCCTGCCGTCCCTGTTGGCTCCCTGCTCTCGCCGCCCAGCTGTCGTGTCCAGGCGGAAGTGGGCTTTGCTGACCAGTGTCGTCTTGTGTCTTGTGTATAAGACAGGCGCTCACGTGTTTGAATTTGCCCATAGCCCAAGACGTCAGCGAGGCAGAGCGAATGTTTAAAAGAGTGTTCGCCCGACACACACCAGGTGTTTCTAGGCGGGTCAGTGAGTTTCTAGTTTATTCCTTCACACGCTGGCTCAGCGGACACACATGGCATGAACATGACCCTGAGGCGCCGTCGTCCACAGCAGTGGGAGGCTCTGGTTCATGGAGTCCCTGGTGTCCTGGCGACACCCTGAAGAGCCTTGGGGGGCAGGGGGAGGCACAGGAGAGCAGTGGAGGAGGGGTGGTCCCCACCCTGCCCCTGCGTGCGTCCAGACCTCTCCTGATGCAGACAGCCCGGATCTCAGCAGACACTGGCTGCACAGGCATGGGCCAGGAGCCTCGCGCAGGGAGGGCCAGAGAAGGGAGGCTTCAGGCCGTCCCGCGTCTGCTCACCCTGCTCCGGGGAATGTGCCGGGGCCCAGGGAGCACCCCTGCCCTGGAGCAGCCCAGCCTGGCCGGCTGATCTGGCCCCAGCCCCTGTGTTCTTAGCAGCTCTGGAGAGACACAGAGACAATACACCTGGGCCAGGGCCAAGCGGCCCCAGCTGCAGCCTCCGTCTGCCCAGGGCCTGGTTCGGGTGGGGGATGGGGGCAGAGAGCCTGTGCGCAGCCTGGGCCCCCCAGTCTGCCATGCTGCTGGGGCCCCCGGGAGGTGCAAGGTTGGCAGGGAGGTGGGGGGGAGAAGTCACACAGCCGGGGTGTCCTGGGGCAGCCCAGAGCCCTGATGGGTTTAAGAAGGAGCGAGTCAGAGAAATCTGCTCAGAAGTAACATGAGAGCGTTCTGTAGAAAACAGGAGGCGACCTGAAGGGGGCGCTAAGGATGCTCTTCCCAGAGACGAGGGAGTCATGGCTGAAACTGCTTGGGGCTCCTGCGGAGTTTAATGCAATGTGGACTCAGTGAAAAATAAATAAGATAGCAGAATGCAATCAAAAGAGAACTACAGCTAAAGACAGCAAGAGAAATGGAAAATCATAGGACGCAAATAAATTTGAGAGCAGAATAGAGAACAGATGGTGGACGTGGAAACAGGCACAGAGAGCTCGAGGAGATCACAGAACAAACAGCAGGGACCCACGACAAGTGGGGAAGACGGGGGACGCACGGCACGTGGGAAGACGGGGGACGCGCGGCACGTGGGGAAGACGGGGGACGCGCGGCACGTGGGGAAGACGGGGGACGCGCGGCACGTGGGGAAGACGGGGGACGCGCGGCACGTGGGGAAGACGGGGGACCCGCGGCACGTGGAAGACGGGGACGCACGGCACGTGGGGAACGCACGGCACGTGGGGAAGGACGGGGGACTCACGGCACGTGGGGAAGACGGGGACGCACGGCACGTGGGGAAGTCATGTACCCATGGCACTGGTAAACATGGGGACCCACGGTGTGGTGTGAAAGACAGGGGACCCATGGTGTGTGTGAAAGACAGGGGACCCTGGCTATTTGCTGGGGGACTGCAGGCTTGGCTTCCTGGGGTAGCTCCACGGTGCTGGACGGACAGAGAACTGACATGGAGGTGGCGACGGCAGCCTGAGGGACAGAGAGGCCCACCACTGCGGGGGGTATTCGGTGGACGCGGCGAGGGCACTGAGGAGAGCAAGTGGGAAACTGAAAACAGCTGCAGCCCTCCTGTCAGCTAAAGACTTGGGCCTGGGGCAGCCGGGGCGGCAGGGACGCAGGGGCGGAGCCCGCCATGCCCTGACGGGCCGCCTCCCCTCTCTCTGCTCGGAGAGGCAGGTGTGAGGTCCCTGTTGTTGGTGGTCAGCGCAGTGAGGACCCTGTTGCCGGTGGTCAGCACAGTGAGGTCCCTGTTGGTGGTCAGCACAGTGAGGACCCTGTTGCCAGTGGTCAGCACAGTGAGGCCCCTGTTGGTGGTCAGCACAGTGAGGTCCCTGTTGCCGGTGGTCAGCGCAGTGAGGTCCCTGTTGGTGGTCAGCACAGTGAGGACCCTATTGGTGGTCAGCACAGTGAGGCCCCTGTTGGTGGTCAGCACAGTGAGGTCCCTGTTGGTGGTCAGCACAGTGAGGCCCCTGTTGCCAGTGGTCAGCACAGTGAGGCCCCTGTTGGTGGTCAGCACAGTGAGAACCCTGTTGGTGGTCAGCGCAGTGAGGCCCCTGTTGGTGGTCAGCCAGTGAGGTCCCTGTCGTCAGTGGTCAGCGCAGGCCCCGTGGGGGAAGTGAGATGCTGCTGCCCTCCCATGCAGTGGCGCTGGCCGGGGGCCAGCCGGGCGCTGTGGTGAGAAGCCCTCTGTGGCGCCCTGGTGAAGCTGGCCTTGTGCCGCCCCTTGATGAAGAGGAGGCGGCACCTCCCGCCCTCACCTGCACCGAGGTGGGGGTCTGGGGTGGGATCCAGCGTCCCACAGTGTTCACGTCTGCCAAGTTCCAGTCTCCTGGATGTTTCGGGTATCTTGCCCACAACAGCCACTCACGCCCACAAGAAAGAAAATCACAATTTCAATTAAAAAAATTAGTGGATACCAACAGAGAAATGACAGGTGTCAGAGTCATCTGCAAAGATTTTTAAAGTAGCCTCACAAAAATGTCACAGCAAACAAGTGTGAACCCGCTGGAAAAAAGGGAAAAACAGTCTCACAAAAAAAAAAAAAAAAAAAAGGAAGATATAAAGGAAAACCACGTAGTCACTTTGAAACTGGAAAACAGCAACGAATGTGAAAGATCGTGGGCGGGATGAGCAAGAGGAGCCTGGAAGTGCAGAGCAGCAGACACCCCACGATAGGAACCTCGGGGAGCAGACACCCCACGATAGGAACCTCGGGGAGCAGACACCCCACGATAGGAACCTCGGGAGAACGGACGAGTGTGGCGAGCAGAGCCGCCTGTGACCTAAGATCGCACGTTTGTGTCGCCCCCGTCCCAGAGGAGCGGAGAGGGCCGGTGCAGGACAGGCGCCCGAGTGCAGGCGGGGAAGTCCCAGCGTGCCGTGCCGCAGAACGACAGACCACAGCCCAGGCAGGATAAACCAGAGATTCCCCAGAGACGCGGCGCCGGACGGAGCGTGAGCCCTCGCTGGCAGACAGACGGCCGTGCGGCCCCGCGAGGGGCACCCCAGCGGCGGGGAGAAAGCAGGGCCGGGGCTCCAAGCCCAGCAGGGCCACCCTGGAGGCAGGAAGGCAGCTGCTGCGGCAGTTCTGCGCAGCGAGAGGAGCCGTGTACAGCGGGGAAGCAGAGCTCCCAGCGGTCGGTGCTGCTCCGCAGAGTCTGCCGGCACGCGGGTGAAGCAGCAGCCCTGGCGCAGGGCTCCCTGTGCGGCCGCAGGGGGTAGCACGGGTGGAGGAGGCAGACCAAGACGCCAATATGGTGGATGTCAGTCACGGGTACACAGTGGAGGGGCGGGCCCACCTGTCAGGCATACACAGTGGAGGGGCGGGCCCACCTGTCAGTCACGGGTACACAGTGGAGGGGGCGGGCCCACCTGTCAGTCACAGGTACACAGTGGAGGGGCGGGCCCACCTGCCAGTCATGCGTCCCCAATGTCCACACTGTTGCCGGCCGGGGAGGCTGGTGGGAGAGGCGGGTGCTGCCCTGGTTTCTGGAGGCGTGTCTACGTTTCTGGATCTGAAATGGCCCTGGTAGCCTCGTCCAGCTGTCCACCTTGATGGAAGCAAGGTTGCTCATGCGAGAAAAGAGGCCGCTTCGTGTCTGTCAGCAGAGAAGTGGCAGCTGTGGCAGATCTGTGCTCACGAAGGTTGTGCGTCCATGACTGGTAGGGAAGGCGTCACACATGGGACATCTGTAGATGTGCGGTGTCCCGAGTCGGGAGGTCGTCACACACATGACCTGCTGATCCGTGCTCGGGAAGGCT